AGTAGAGGTACATGTATAGTTATAGTATACACAAAAATGTACACGTACATGTACATGTACATGTACGTACAATTTTGTGAATGTGCTAAACAAATACCGTAATTTGCCTTTTNTTCGTTGTGGAAATATTTTCGTATGGTCCTAAATTGACGAAAATATTTCAATCGAAAATTTTTGAGCAACCAAAATTTGTGACCTAATTCATCAAAGAAAGACTAAGGTACGGCCTGATAAGTAGGTATCTTCTTGCAGCTCTAACCTTGCTCTATCCACTGGTGCTTGCTGTACTTCAATCAGTTGCTTCACTACTGAGTTATAAAATAAAACGGTCCACCATGTGACAAAAGTAGCCATTTAATGTTTCCGTTTATTATCCGTAAATTGGTCATTGCTGCATCTCCAGTACTATCCGTATACTAGTAATGTCGGGGGGAACAGCCAGGTCAAGAATCTCTTATCTCAAGAATTATAAACACTACTATAGCGGCCTTGTTACCAGTAGGTAAAGGACAAGGTATGTGCAAGAGAAGCTAAATTTTCAGACTGTAAAAATTTTCGTACACTATGAGAAGACGAAAATATTTCCACTTGAATTTTTCTGAAACGAAAAATTTTTGTACGAAAAAAAGGCAAATTACGGTAGTTGATTTTTATTGGCAAAGCCACAAAACATAAAACATACTAAAATCATTACTTCATGCATATGTACATGTACATGCAGTTATAAAAAATAATTACAAGTGTAATACATGCATGAATTAAAATACATTATAATAGACTGTACATAGGCCTATTAAACAACAGTGGATCCCTTACCAGTATCAGTAATGCCAACTGTCAATAGTTTCCTCAATACTTCAGCCACCACTTGTGACGAGGCTTGACTGAACTGGACAAAAGGTGTAGTGAATATGGTCGGAGGGAGGAGGGCTGGTACTAATAGAGCAGTGCAAGTCTTAACAGCTTCCAATCTGATGCTCTTGTGTTCAGAATATAAGTACATATCAGCAACATTCTGTACTAGCTGAAGGGGCAGGTGAGCTATAGAATTTCGTAATAATGAAACATGTAAAAGATATATCAAAATAATGATACAGTGGAACTTCTGAAGAACAAAACTTTTAGAACACTAATTTTTTTCATTGCATATGCAAGTAGAGAAGTTATTAATAGGGAATAAAGTTGGTATAATAAATCTTTCTTAATACACGTACATAAAGGCTTTTGTCTAAAAGAAGTGTAATTGTCAGCAGTCCCAAAGTATATGTACATACATAGCTTGTTGTGATGTATGTGAATTTCTAACCTCCAAAATTAAAAGACCCTAAAGTCTGTAAAGCTAGTGTTATATTCCCAATGTCAGATTCAGGGAATGGAGTAGAGGAGAGCTGACCTAGAGCAGAACAAAGAAATAAAATAATACTGAATGTTGACATGATCTATGTACATGTAGTACAGTATTGTTGTACAGTCCTATATTGTACATGTACATGTATATTAGCATTACTTGTGGAAGTGGATGGGGCCACTTTGGGTGCTCCAGGATGCTTGAACTGTTGATGAAGCAGAATCATGTAGAGCATCTTAAGAAGACCATCTACACATGAACATCAATAATAATATAAAATAATACATTATCAACTGTACATGTACATGTACATACATGTAAATAATAATAATAATAATGGTAATAAAAATAACCTTCAAGTTTTAAATAATGTTAGAGGCAGCAGCAATAATTGTAACAATAATGGACAAAAGAACATAACAGTTAACTGACCTTGAATATCTTTCTGCAGTGAGGGTATCTCACGGGCCAATACCTTGAGAGCGTTGGTGAGTTCAATGCTCAATCCAAGAGCAAATATCTGATCAAGAACCGGACGAATCTCAACCTCAATGTTAGGACCGACGGCTCTTGCTAGCATACTGATGCAGAGGAAGACTGCTGGATCAGGTACTATAATGCCACGACTGCCTCGTCTGCTAATAAATATATTATAAAATAAAGTCATACACTTTTAATACATGTACATGTACATGTACACATGTACATGTACACAGGGCTTCCTACAGGATTTTGGATGCAGCTTCTTTGTCAGTGGATTGTCAAGTTGCTCAAAAATTAAGCCAAATACACTGTACTATAGTACAGGGTATTTTTGGCAAAAATCATAAAGAGAGATTTCTCCATTTTTATAATTTTTCCTGATACATATATATGTTCTTGTGTTGTGCATCAACTTTGAGCTGATTCTGATCAAATTTGAATTTTTTATGAATTTTTAAAGTTACTCAAAAATTGGGCCTTTAACCAAAGGCTATAGCCTTTGGTTAAAGGCCAAATTTCGTCAAAAATGGTTTCGAGAGAATTCTCCATTTTCATAATTTTTTCTGATACATATACATGTCCTTATGTTGTGTAGAAAGTTTGAACTGATTTCGAGCAAAACTGGATTTTTTATGAATTTTTAAAAGTTATTCAAAAATTGGGCCAACGACCAAAGGCTATAGCCTTGGTCAAAAGCCAAATTTCGTCAAAAATGGTTTCGAGAGAATTCTCCATTTTTATAATTTTTTTGATACATACACATGTCCTTATGTTGTGTAGGAAGTTTGAACTGATTCCGATCAAATATAGAATTTTTATGAATTTTCAAAGTTACTCCAAAATGCCATGTACTGTATTTATAGTCAGCTCATGAAGCTCATTCTGTTTAGCTC